GATTTTAAATTCTAAATATATAAGCAATACTTTCACTATCCGGTTTATCGACACTTTCCGTTTCATGGCGTCGAGCTTGGGGAAACTGGCATCAAACTTAATCACACCACCGCTTGAAAATTTCCGTGAGACAGCTAAACATTTTGTCACTGAAGATATGAAACTAGTCACTCGTACAAGACAATGGAATCAAAAAGAAAGAGAATGAAAATAGAGTTGGTACCTAATGAGGAAAGAGTGCAAAAACTTATTAATAAGACGACTTTCAAACACGGGACTTACTACAGAGTTACTAACTTACGACTTACTAACTACTTCCATACTATGTATTAATGAATATCATTATTTCAGATTCACTGATATATAAAATTATTACAGACGATTTTTATAATGATTTGGAAAAAAATTCAAACTTACTCGAGCGGATGGACACTGCAAACTTACCGCAAGACCATCCTTGTTACACTGTTGATAGAAAAAAGATGAAACCCAAACGGAAGATGAAGAAAAGGCTTTTTCAGAGTGTAAGGAGTGTAATTTATGTAAAAGAGCCTAGCTAGTACCTCTGTAGATTCACCATCATCGTCACAATCATTATCTTCCCTTCAAAAATCAAAAAAAATTATGAGCATATTAATCTAAAAAAAAAAATTATTTTTAAAAACTCACTCTATCCTATAGTGTCCGTGAGCTAAGGTTTGGATTTTATCGTATAATATTACCCTTTTATCGTCAAAGCTGTTGTATGTTAATTTCATAGTCTTAACGGTCTTAAGATCGTGTTTGAACGAACGTATAGAAACATTCTCTTTTTTCTTCTCTAGTTCTAGATCGCCAAACAAACACTTTTTGTGATCCTCCAGAGTCATATGGTTCTTAACCACATGACTCCGTATACCCTTCTCCTTGATTATCTTTTTTTCTTTTTTACCTCCATATATATTATATGCGTACGATTTGGCACGCAGTGCACAAAATTCAGTCATAATAAGTCCGTCTGTCTCATCTGAAAAGAATCCGGGGATCTTTTTTCTATCAACAGTGTAACACGGATGGTCTTGCGGTAAGTTTGCAGTGTCCATCCGCTCGAGTAAATTTGAATTTTTTTCCAAATCATTATAAAAATCGTCTGTCATAATTTTATATATCAGTGAATCTGAAATAATGATATTCATTAATAAATAGTATGGAAGTAGTTTTAAATTATAAATTTACCCGTATCAGTATACATTAGTGATATATTATCACTATAATGTTTTTTCATAACGTTATAATGATAATCATACATTAGTGTTTTTGAAATTTCCAATACTGCAAATCCTAAAGGAAATAATTGTATTAATTCAGTACATTCATGCATTTTAAAGTATATTTACCAATATATATAGGTTTATCAAATTTAATTATTTTATTTTCCAGTGAAACAGCGATAAGATTTTCTCTGTAGTAAGTCGCGTGTTTGAAAGTCGTCTTATTAATAAGTTTTTGCACTCTTTCCTCATTAGGTACCAACTCTATTTTCATTCTCTTTCTTTTTGATTCCATTGTCTTGTACGAGTGACTAGTTTCATATCTTCAGTGACAAAATGTTTAGCTGTCTCACGGAAATTTTCAAGCGGTGGTGTGATTAAGTTTGATGCCAGTTTCCCCAAGCTCGACGCCATGAAACGGAAAGTGTCGATAAACCGGATAGTGAAAGTATTGCTTATATATTTAGAAAAAGAAATAAATTTCTCCTCACTGTTCGGAATAACGTAAATAGTATTGGTATCGAAACCGAGTTCAAAAATGATCTAGTGAGAGTCGTAATTAGAGAGGTTATGGAAGTAACACGGGATAAATTTGGGCTGCTGTAACTTTAGGTTACATCCTAAACACAAAGTATACCTAAATTTACCCGTCAGATGGTTGTGATCTCTAACTTTATCGACTCCTTCTACGGCTCTTTTACATAAATTACACTCCTTACACTCTGAAAATATTTTTTCTTCATCTTCCGTCATAATCATTGGTACGTTCGTCTTTAACAACTTCTCAATCTTCTTCCCCACTTCCACAATCTTCCCCAAAAAATGTTTTGCAACGTGCGGTTTGTTTTCATTTCTACGATAAATTACCGGCCCCGTCGGTATGCCATGCTCCTTCAAAAGACTAGCCGGTACGTCATCACTCGCCTTCACTAAAAACCCATAACTCATCGCTTCGTGATTATTTATTATCCTTGTATTTCCCCCCTTCTCCTCATATTTCTTCGGAAGCAGCGCTTCAAAATCTGCATATATGACAATTGGGTGTCTATCTGTATTTCCCCACGCATTGAATTTAACGCAGTCCCCATCTTTCGGCATCACGGGTAGAATAGGTTTGTGTGTCCCACAAATTAATTTATGCTGTTCTAATGCTTTCATACCACTCAACTTATATGTATGCCTTTTGTCATCAAATGTTGTAAAACACCGTTTACAAAACACGATGCTCTCAGTGTGGGTGGTTTTCTGTGATCTAATGAGTCTAGACATATTTGAGATATAAATAAAATGAGAACCGTTTTCATTAGTCGTCAGCAACAGGTCGAAATGGTTGACTTTTTCAGTAACGGAAACACGTAGCGGGAAAACTTCATAAGACAGATATTTACGAGGAGGATGAAATTTTTTTCTAAACCGTACACATTTACAGAAACGTACGGGTTATTTTTTTCGAATTTTGAAATATCCGCGAGTGGTGTGGGGAATGAAATATCCTCAAAATTATATTTATCTCTTAATGTTATACTTGCTTTTCTCGTTTCTTCTAAACGTGCGATGTTCTGCATAATCCTATTTTCTAGAGTTATTAACTGTAGGAGGTCTTCACGGTTCAGTAACATTGCATCCGTCTTGAGTTTTCGATTCGAATACGATAACGTTCTCTCCTTTATATACCATACTCGAAAGTGTCGTAGTTTCGGTATACGAAAAAACATTTTTTCACCGGTACGGTGAAGATATAATAATATTATAACGGACATAACATGGTAAAATATTGATTGTCCGCTCTACAAATCGGACAAATTAAATTATTACCACCAAAACTTACAGTATACTGTAAAAAGCATAACCGACAGAAACAAAGATGCCCACAATCTAATAGAAAACAACACGAATTATTTTCCAAACAAATTACACACTTCTCCTCCATAACGATCGGTGAATTCCTCGGCCAGGTTATACGATGGATATTCTTCTTGTTTTTCAAACTGTAGTATTTTGAATCGGCAGCTAGTGAGATGTCTTCTGGATTCACCTGCTAAACCACGCCTTCTATTTTAAGATGCTGCGGAAACGAACAATTTAAATTGTTTAAAAAACCCGGATTTATTATTTTAACTACAATTCGATTATTTTCAACGATGCACCGTAACAAAATACCCATAGTATTATTGATGGTACACATATTTAATACGTTGACAGTAAAATAAAATAAGTAAATACTTGATCTAAAAACGGTAGAGAATTAAATATTCGAGTATAAGAATCGTGCAGATGAATTTCTACTGATTATCAATCGGAGCAGTCGATTGTCGGCTATCGAATTATATATGATAACCTATGCGTTTCTATATGAGAATCTCGACTATCGACTGCGATTGTCGTCGTTGACGGGCGCGCGTATGACAGCTGGTATAATAAATGAAAAATACGTAAAACACGAATAAAAATACGTGTTAATCAGTATTATTTACGAAGGTCACCTCTAACCTTTTCATTTATTTATTTATTTATTCATCAATCATTTATTTTAAAAATGTCTTCTTTAAATATTGATTCCTTAGTTTTTAATGGTGATTGATTGTATAGACTACCACTGGCCATAAATTCAATTTTTTTAAATTTTTGAATATTATGTTTAAGATTTCCTACGGTATTGTTGTCCATAAAACCTACATATCTAATAATATCTGATTTAAGGCCCTTCATGATATTGCGTATTATTT